TTTTATTACTTGTTTGTCAGCTGTTATCGCGCTCTGATACGGGCGATAAGGGACTTCTGCGAATTCTTAGATTTTAGCTCCTCTTATCTGATAAACAAATGATGTTTTTTTTTCGTTGGTATCTTGTTTGTGCGATTATTGTTATCATTACTATAATTTTTGTTATTATCATTATCATGATTTTTATTGTTGTCGTTGCTATTATTATTGTTATTATTTTCTTCATTATCATTATCATTAATGATGTTATTATCAATATCATAATTATCATTAGTGTTGTTGTTATTACCATTATCGTCATGATGATCATAAAAATGATAATTATAATAGTAATTACGATGATATTATTGTTATTATCATCATATTAATTATTATTGCTGTTATTATCATTATCGCTATTTTTACCATTATTATTATCATTATTATCAGCATCATTATTGCTGTCATTATTGTATTTTTTTACTATCAACATTGTTATCAGCAGCAGCATCATTACTGATATAATTATCATCACTCATTACAATTACTATCATCAAGGTGATGATCAAATATAATTATTTCTCAAACTTCTCTACCATATAACAATATATTTTTTTGTTATAATGAGCTTTACAATTTCCCTTATCAGACAATGCCATCATTTATACGACATTAAATAAACCATTTCACTATACTAAGGACACTGTACTCAAGAAATCTGATAACGATTCACCGGTTTACATACAAAAGGAATAACGAAAGGAAGAACAAGAAAACACAAGAATAATCCCATTTGTTCGTCTTTCCTTCGTTGTTCTTGCAATTTGTTCGACATGAACTTCACACTGTGATGTATGCAAATATTGTGTAATTTAATTTATTCTTCTTCATCAGTGAGAAATTGTAGAAAAGCAGATAGATGGTAAAGAAGATGAAAATGATAATAATAATAAAATGATGATAGATGGTAAAGAAGATGAATATGATAATAATAATAAAATGATGATGGTTAGTAATAATAATAATAATAATATGATATTAATAAATTGAAGAAGATGAAGAAAAAGATGAAGAAAAGGACGAAGGAAAATAAGAAAAAACAACAAGAAAAGGAAGAAGAAACAAGACGAAGAAGACTTTGGAGAAGAAAAAGGAAGAAAAAGGAGAAGAAGAAGAAACAAGACGAAGAAGACTTTGGAGAAAAAAAGGAAGAAAAAGGGAGAAGAAGAAGAAACAAGACGAAGAAGACTTTGGAGAAGAAAAAGAAAGAAAAAGACAGAAGAAGACTTTGGAGAAGAAAAAGAACAAGACAAAATAAGAAGAAGACATCAGTGAGCGGCGGTCATTGTAACCTCCGTGCCATTGAACGCTCCGGCCAAGACATGATCAGCGTTGCACCACTTTCTCCCCGGCCGTTTGCAACGACTCCGGAAAGGAATGGCAACTTTGCACAAATCAGCACACACACACACGCGAACACAATATTAAATTCAGATACGTACACGCATACATGCACACACACACACGCAAACACAATATTAAATAAAGATACATACACGCATACACGCAAGCTCAATATTAAATTCAGATACATACACGCATACACGCACACACACACACACACACACACACGCAAACACAATATTAAATTCAGATACATACACGCATACATGCACACACACACACACACACACACACACGCAAACACAATATTAAATAAAGATACATACACGCATACATGCACACACACACACAAACACACATACATACACACATGCACACACACAAAACACAATATTAAATAAAGATACATACACGCATACATGCACACCACACAACACAATATTAAATAAAGATACACACACGCATACATGCACACACACATACATGCAAACGCACGCACACACAATGTCAAATACAGATGCATACACACACATACATGAACACACACACGCAAATGCACGCACGCATAATATTAAATACATATGCATACACACATGCACACGTACACACACACACATACACAC